CTATCATACATCAACGTGTATAAAAGAATAACTTGTCATATTTAAAGAAACGACTGCAGATAAAAGCGTTGCTTAAAAATTTTTCACTGACACAACAGCAAAGACTAGAAAGAGAAATGCATTCAAAGTGTCAAATGTGTGTGTTCTATGTGCCCAACTCCAGGGACGTGAGTATAGACATATATACGGTTTAAAATAAAATTTACTGACACAATAAAACTCCACATTAAAAAATTTCAAATTTACAAATCTCTCAAACTGACATGTTCTCAGAACCAATTTAAATTCAAGTAGTTCACAGGATTTACAAGGCAATTTTTTCAGAGGACAGGAAAGTTTTACCATTATAACAAAAATGATACCTGAGGGAGGGCACCATAATTCCATATATAACCCTTGTGAGGGAAAATATTCGCCACATAGCGTAGCTTGCCATTCTTCACATCTTGTTTAATGGGATTCAACGGCTCCTTGGTGGCAATCTAAGCAAATCACAGGGGAAAGAAAGGGAGAGGACGATGAGAAACGAATAATCTTATATCCAATCCTGTATCCAATTTTTTAAATCTGCCATTTCTAGACTAAATATTCAATATTCCAAGTTAATTATCAAAAATGTTTTAAAGTAAGCCAGCTCTTATTACTAATTTCTAGTACTGGGTAAAACAAACTGTGTGGAAAGGAGACATCATACAGTAGAACCTCTGTAAGGTGACCACCCACCCAAGGGACTATAACAGACTCGTAAACACATTGAGGAGGGTAACAGAAGGAACGAGGCCTACTGTGCTGGAAAGTACATGTGGTGCGTGTCCGGTCTGTGGAAATTAGGTCACCTTACGGAGATGGTCAATGTAGGGAGGTGGTCAACTTCGGAGGTTCTATTGCATTTTCAACATTAACCCCTTATCAGATGTATTGCTTACAAATACACATCAAGCTTTTGAGTTGGACGTAATCCTATTTGTCTATTCTTGCTTTTGTTACTTGCTCTTTTGGGGTCAAACTCAAAAAATTATTGCCCAGAGCAGAGTTGTGTGGTTCTCCCTCAGGTTTCCTTCTGGCAATTTTATTGTTTCTGTTCTTATATTTAAGTCCATGATTCATTTTGAGTTGATTTTTATATTTGGTATGAGATAAGGATCCAGCTTCTTTCTTCTGCGTCTGACTATCCAGCTTTCCACACCATTTACTGAAGAAACGATCCCTTTCCCATTGTACATTCTTGGCACTCTGTCACGAATCAACTGACCCAATGTGCTTAGGTTCCTGGGGGGCTTTCTGCTGTTTCACTGGATGATGTATCGATGTATCTGGGGTCTGTTTTTTGTTGTTGTTTTGTTTTGTTGCCAGTATAGCTGAGAATCCCTTCTCCAAAACACTTAGGATCAGAAGTGTTCTGATTTCATACTTTTTTCAAATTTTGAGATATTTGTATTTATGCTCACCAGTTAAGCATCCCAAATTTGAAAATCCAAAATATGAACCACTCCAAGGATCATTTCCTTTGAATGTCAGCTCAGCACTCAAAATTTTTCAGATTTTGGAGCATTTCAGGTGGAATGCTCGACTCGTCCCATACTATTTCAGTTGCTGCAGCTTGGCAGAATAGTTTGAAAGCAAGTGGTGTGATGCCTTCACCTTTTGTTCTTTCTGCTCATGACTGCCTTGGCTATTTGAGGTTATCAGCGGTTCCCTATAAATTTAGGGTTGCTTTTTCTTGTTGGTTTTAACTTTTTTTGTTCTATTTTTCTTTACTGTGTGACTTTATTTTTTATGGTTTTTTTCCTGGATTATTTTTTCTACTTCCATAAAAAATTACATTGGAATTTTGATAGGGATTGCAATGAATTATAGATCACTTTGGGTAGTATGAACAATTTAACAATAGCAATTTTTACAATCTGTAAACACCAGATGTCTTTCTATTTACTTATGTCATCTTCAGTTTCTTTCAGAAACATTTTACAGTTTGTAGTGTGAAGGTCTTTTACCTCCTTGATTAAATTTATTCCTAAGTATTTTAATTTTTTTTAGTCATTATTATAATGAGATTGTTCTCTTTGATTTCTTTTCTGAGAGTTTGTTGTTAGGGTATAGAGTCAATGTTGCTTGTGACCGTGTCCTGCAAATTTATCATACTCATTTATCAGTTCTAATATTTTTTGGTGGAGTTTTTAGGGTTTTTGTAGGTGTAAGACCATGTCATCAGCAAACAGTGACAGTTTCCCTTCTTTCTTTTCTATTTGGATACCTCTCCTTTCTCTTGCCTAACTGTTCTTTTTTTTGAGACAGTCTCACTCTGTTGCCCTAGGTAAAGAGCTGTGGCACCATAGCTCACAACAACCTCAAGCTCCTGGGCTCAAGCAATCTTCTTGCCTTAGGTTTTCTATTTTTAGTAGAGAAGGAGTTTCCCTTGCTTATCTTCATCTTGAACTCCTGAGCTCAAGCAATCCACCTGCCTTGGCCTCCCAGAGTGCTAAGGATTACAGGTGTGAGCCGCCACACGCCGCCTGCCTAACTGTTATGGCCAGGACTTCCAGTACTATGTTGCATAGAAGTGACAAGAGCAGAAATCTTTGTCTTGTTACTGATCTCAAAAGAAAGCCCTTTACTGCGTATATGGAAAGAATCTTTACGTTAACTGTATCATAAGATTGAGGGTAAGAGAAAGCTTGAGATTACTAAGAAAAAGCTGATTGATTTTTATCCATTTTCCATCTTAATAATTTTATTATTTGTTAGAAATGGTGTGCTAATAATAGAGCACCTAAATAAACAACAGAACCTCCTCCCTACACTGTAGTTGACCACCTCCCTACACTGACCACTTCCTTAAGCTGACCTAATTTTCATAGACTGAACATGCATCTCATGTAGGAATCAGTAATGTAGGTCTAGTTCCTTGTGTTGACCAGCTCTGTATGTTGACCAGTTTGTTACAGTCCCTTGGGTAGTGAACTTACAGAGGTTCTCTAACACACATACACACACACACACACACACACACACACACACACATTATATATATAATTCAAACTCTCTCTATAGATATAAAAACTCAAACAACTCAGCAACAACAAAAAACCTAACTAAAAATGGGGAAAGGACCTGAATAGACACCTCTCAAAGAACACATACAAATGGCAAGATACATAAAGAAATGCTCCACTTTAATAATTTAGGGAAATACAAATTAAAATCACAATGAGATATCATCTCACACCTGTCAGAATGGGTATCACTGAAAAGACAACAGATAGCAAGTGCTGGCAAGAGATGTGAAGAAAATGGAATCCTTGTACACTGTAGGTGGGAATGCAAATTAGCACAGCCATTATGAAAAACTGTACCGAGGGTCCTCCAACTGAAAAGAGAATTATTTTTATAATGATCCAGTAATCACACTTCTGAGTATTTATCCCAAAGATTTCAAATCAGTTTATCAAAGAGATGTTGGCATCCCCATGTTCTCTGCAATGCTATTCACAACAGCCAACTTACACTACATATAATCGACCTAAACACCCATCAACAGAGGACCTGCTAAAGAAAATATAGCCCAGGTACACAATGAAATACTGACATTCTGTCCCCTTCAACAACATGAATGGAATGGGAACATTCTGCTAAGTGAAATGTGTCAGTCACAGAACGGCAGATACTGCATGTTCTCCCTGATACGTGCAATCTAAAACTTCAAACTCACTGAAGCAGAGTAGAGCTACAGTAACAGAGGAGGGTGGAGGCATACGGAGATGATGGCCAGAGGACACAAAATCTCAGACAGGAGGAATAACTTTTTTGACTTATTACTGCACAGCTTGATGAATACAGCTAATACTGTACTGCACATTTCAAACTCGCTGAGTGTAAATTTCCAATGTTCTCACCCCCAAAATAAGTCTTTGAAATAAGAGATATGTTAGCTGCCTTGATTTAATTACTTTACATTGTATTCATAATATCACTTTGTACCTTATAAATATACATAACTATAAATTGCCAATTTATGGTAAAATAATCACCAAAAACATTCTCATATTTCAAAGTTGCTTTTTAAATCAAACATATTTACATTGCTATTCATAAAGAAAAAATATCTATGCTTTAAAGTGAACAAAAAAAAAAAAACTGAAGCAATATTGAATGAAGAAATGCTGCTTAAATTATATAGAATCTCACAGATCTTTGGACCTTACCCCTGAGTAAGAGATCAGCAAGAATAAGGAAATATTGTACCTAACGCAAGGCCCAAAGAAGAATCTTTTATCTTTACCTTTTCCTACTAACAAGCTAACAAAAAATACTGCCAGGACCAGATTAAAGTACTGACAATTCTCCAAATATAAATTCTGAAAAATACACACCTACAGAACAGTTCCTCATTTAAGTACGTGAAATAATACTTGCCATCATACCCAAAGTTGTAGAAGGCTTAAATAACTAAACCAAGTGACATAAATTAAATTTCATTTAGAATTATGAAGAATCCTGCCTAACTAAAGAAAGAGCAATAAAATCATAAAAAACAAAAGGGAAGTTCTTGATAGGTGCATGTTTCCTGGAAAAAACAAAACTAACCAGAGGAACAGCAGATGCTCTTGGTGCTTATACATTCAGTTACCCAGGAAAATGCTTTCATGCCTGGCACAGTAAAATATGAAGGAGAATTAAGCCTTCAGAAACTAAAATTGCCCTCAGCCCCAAATAAATGTTTCAACTGTATCTATGAACTAAATACATCTCAGAATCTATTTAAGTAAGCCTTGAAAATACTTGCCATTTTCAAAGAAAGGAGAGACAGAGAAAATTAAATGTGGGAAGAACAAACTAGAGAGGCAAAACTGAAAAGCGCTCTTGGAAGTGCAGACTCACCTACAAATATTTTTCTCAACTATCCCAAATTCAAAATATTATGCCAAACATTTTGCAACAAAGCTTTTATGTCATCATCATGATTATTAATTCAACTTTGTATTAATAGGATATAGCCATACCTCCATTTTAGCATTTGTCCACCGAGGCACTTCTACAACCATATTAAACAAATTCTGTGGTTTAAAAAAACAAAAAAGAGAGAACATGAAAAATTTTACCTTTTATTTTTTCATTTGTCTGCTTTACAGAAATGCTTTAGGTTTACCTCCCCTGATACAATGTTTAGAGTCTGTACCATACATCGACCTGACCCTTACATTTCTTCTAAAACTTAGAATAGTTTAAAACAAACCAAGAATTTAAGCCACCAGGCCACTTAAGCATGACTACACGCGGTTAGAGGTTACCGCACGTCTGGAAACACCTTTGCAGTGTAGTGACAGATCTAGAATGAAGTCAGGAAATGTATTTGGATTTTTATTTTCCAACTTCCTCAGTTAAGAGTGAGAGACCAATGCCCTCACTTTGAGGATTCAGTCTCATATTTCTAATCTGCAAAGTGTGATAATCTCTGTCCCACTCCCCATATAAGGTTGTTAGGAAGATCAATTGAATAATTTCAGTGAAAATACACCAAAATTATGAAGTAAAATATTTAAAAAATAGAAAACGAAATTTAAATCCAAGTTGTGATCACAATGTAAAAGTAAGGATGGCTCGCAAAGAGACTAAACTTTGTAAGCTTAGCTTGCATGTCTAGTGATTTCAGGTTCCTTAAAGTAAGAAAAGAAACACTGCTTCTTTTTTTAAATTCTGAACTCTTGTAGAATGCTTAAGCGAAAGGAGACCTTAGATCAATGGTAAGTAAAAATAATGTCCCACAGTTTGCCTTACAAAGTCTTAAGGTAAAAGCTGATTTGCATGCCATTTGACATCAATAACTAACAATTTATCACAGGTAAGTGTTGCTTTAAAACAGTGTACTCCAACTTCAGCCATTGACCAGGGCTAACCTGCACACTGGATTATGGAAAAACATTTATAGTAATGTGAAGAAGTAATTTTTACAACTATTGAATCTAATACTCCAATACTGGAACTTGCATTACACTTCTATAATAATTCATTTTGAATGATTTTTTAAAAAGTATCAGTTCATGACAGAGTAGAAATAAACAAACCGAAAAACTAGTCCCTCACTACAGATCACTTGGGAAGCTATGATTTACCATACTTTTCAATCATTCCCACATAGCAAAATGCTCTTGAGATATGAAAATCACCTGGCCAGCTTTAACCAGTTAAAAAAAAGATTCACAGACCCCCACCTCTCACTTACTGAATTCCACTGCTCTGGGTGGAGCCAGGGCACTGCTTATTTAAAAAATCTCTCTAAGTAATTTTAACCTGCAGCCAGAGTTGGTTTAAAGCATTGCTAAACAATATCATTGGCAGTTCCTTAGTGAAACATGGAATGCTATTAATTCAAATAATGCCATTTGCACAGTTAAATGTAAACATATACGGAGCCATAAAGTAATCATGTTTTTATTACGTTTTTCTAGATAAAAGTTACAAATGGCAAAACCACAAACCCATAATGAGATAAACAAAGCTAAGAATGAATTCTTAAAAATTGCTCCTTAGAAGTATGTCTCAATCCTATCTTAGTAACCTTTTACACAGCTCTGCTGTTATGTTTCATTTTCTATGCTCTTTCATGAGGTACCCCTGCACCTGTTTAAATATGTCTGAAGTAGCTGTTAAAAAGAAAAACCAAAGTAAATGGCAGATGTTCACATAATTTATTCATCCCGGAAAGCATGGCTGTAAGAGAACAAATGCCTGTGGATGAATGCTCAGAGGTGACAGAGTAGACCAAGCTCGTGACAGTCATTTTACACAACGACACCTACCAAAACCACTCACAGAGATTTGAATTAGGCCAAAAGAATAATAGATGAGGTTGAATTTTAAGTCAGCAAATCACACTCTTCCAGACCACCTTTTTTCTCTCCAGTTAAAATCCATTTGGCCCATAATTTTTTAAAGCCAATATTAGGCTGGTTTTCCTAAGGTTACTGTTAATTATAAACCAACAGTGGTCTGCCCAAAATTTTTAGAAAATCGAAAAGAAAAAGGGGCACAATCAAACCAGAAAGTTGTAGATGTGGCAGAGTCAAGAGAAATCTTCCTTTAGTCCTTTTCTTTCCCTCCATTTTTCTCCTTGTATTTTTATCACAGAAATCAAACACATAAATAACATATATTAAAAATGTATGTGCAGTCAGTATGTTTTATTAGTTTATTAGGTAGGAAATGTCCCATCTCCTGAAGTAGTAAGTTTGACAGTTGATATCCCTGACATTTCACTTTGACATTTCTTGCTTTGTTGTTGTTGGGATTTTTTTCTGTTTTTTTTTTTTATTCTGAAAGTACATCCTAATTCTTTCAAACCCCCTTTTGGTTTTTGTTTACCTTCCAAATTTTTTTTTTTTAAAGCAATTTTTGTGAAACCATGGATAAGTCAAATGCATGTGGAATTAGTGCAGCACAGATAGCTCAAAATATAAAATGTTTGGGGAGGATGTGGCCAATGAACGCACAGTATGTGGATGGTTTGAGAAGTTCTGATCTGGTGATTTTAGCCACGTGGATGGTCTGAGACACATGTGGATAATGAAGAGCTGAAAGCTGTAGTGGAAGCAAACTGTTCTCAACCTATACACGAATTAGCAGCAAGGTCTGACGTTACTACTGCAACAATATCAGACTATTTGAAACAAATCGCCAAGGTAGAGAAGCTGGATAGATGGGTTCTACATGAATTAAGTGTAAGAAAAGAAATAGTCTCAAAGTTTGCCTTTCTTTGCAGTCATGACTCTAAGGCAAACCATCTTTACAGTGTACTGTTACATGTAATAAAAAATGGATTCTTTTTGATAATCACAAAACTTTGACGCAATGGTGGTTGGATAAAGAGGAAGTGCTGAAACATAGTCCAAAACCAAATATTCATCAAAAAGAGTTAATGGGTCACCAGTGCTGGTATTATCCACTGCAGCTCCATGAGCGTGGTCACTGGATTACAGCAGATGTCTACAGCAACCAACGGGGCAACATGACGGGGATGCTTATGATTGAGCAACAGGGACTCTTGCAAGAAAACGCTGTTGCCCAAACTACAGAAGCTGGACTTGTCATCCATTATGTTCAGCAGACCTTGCACCAACTGACTGCCACTTCTTCTAGGCTCTGTACCAGTTCTTGCAAAGAAAAATACTCAATCCTCAGCAAGCTGTGGAAAAACCTTTTCCAATTTCATTGTCACTTGCTCTCTAGATTTCACAGCTGGCATGCGTAAGTTACCGTTAAGATGGCAAAACTGTGTTGACAGCTTAGGTGACACTTTGATTCACTGTACTACTTCTTGTTTGAGATATGAAAAACTAAAGTTTTAATTTGAAATTGGACATTTCAGATTTAATAACCTAATATATACATGGGTTAAAAACCAGGAAGAAATTCTCTTTTTTCCTCTCAAACTTTCAAGTAAACTCAAATAAGATAGTCTTCAACATATAAGCTGTGTTCTAAGAATTAATTTTAATTTGATTGTCTAGACTCAGAAAATGTTTTTCCCATTCAAACAGCTGTTTCAGGTTCACACACAAAGTCCCTAGGGACCTATAAAGCCATGAGTCCCTAAATGTCCACTCAGTATCTAGGGCAGTGGTTCTTGAACTTCATGTTTAGGGTACACCTAGGACACCTGGTGAACATGTGAATTTAAAGCAGGGGCCAGGGATCTCAATTTTTAACAAGCATTCCAAATGGTTCCAGTGGAGATGGTTCAGGACCATTTTGACAAACATCGATTTAGAAAAACAAAAGAGGGAGAACAGGCAAAGGCTGTGGAAATTAAAAGTCCCCAATAGCTATGTCGTGGAAGTGGATTCAAGGGCTGGGGTTGGGAGTTTCAGCTGAGACAGAGAATAGATGGAAACAAGGCTGGAAAGGCAAAAGAAGGCAGGAGGAGGGCAGGAAAAATGCTCAGGATCAGCAGGACGAAAGGACTCGGGGAGCAACAGATGAGATGGCAGACATCAATCAGATGTTCTGGTCTTACCACAAGACTATCAAAGGGTTGACAGCCACACATTTAAAAGGTATTTTTAAGAGTATATGTATTTGTTTTAGAATGTATGTATTTGTTATGGTATGACCCTGAGAACAATACCCACCAGTTATCTCTTTACACTTCCTTGTTGCATTTTTATAGCACTGATGTTTAGCATAGAGTTGTTATAACTTTTTCTTCTCTATCCCCAAAGACTGCTGTTCCTGGATTATAAAACAGCCTCTCAAACCAGCTTCGCACACGATAACAATAATGAAAAGAAGAACTGACCAATTTTCATGAAGTACTTCTACTTTAGACCATCTACTATGATAAATAATCTGCTACTAAAATCTAGATTCCTGTCCTAATTCTCTCAGGTTTTTCACTTAAAAAGGAAATGGTAATGAAGTACCTAGCACAGTCACATTCATGCAGACAGAAAGTAGAATCGTGGTCACCAGGGGACTGGGAGAGGAAGGGAATGGGAAGTTGTTCTTTAATGTACTCAGGTTTCAGTTTGGGATTATGAAAAAGTTCTGGAGATGAAGAGTGGTGATCACTGCACAGCGATGTGAAAGTGCTTAACGCCGCTAAACTGTGCGATTGAATAAGATTAAAATGGCAAATCTTCAATTAAAAAAATGAAACGCTGATGTCTACCCTAGCTGCATTAAAGAAACATTAGAAGAAGAAAAACATCAGAATGCATATGAAACTCTAGCAGGGGGGGAATTTAAAAGCGCTTTACAAATGCAAACAAGCATCAAGGTCTTTAACATACAAAAGTATAAAAACTTTTAGATATACCTCACAGTCATCATTCCGCGCTTTCTTTGTAGGAATGCCATTTTCCTATAAGAAAGAAAAGATGGTATCTATAATTGTACTATTTCATGAAAGAATACAGTTTCATTGCATAGCAACAAAAACATAACCACTATGTTCACTTAACACTCTACGACTGAGGCTGTCCAGAGATCTGATTCAACAGAGAACCTGACAAATGCTTAGTTTTCCCTCAGGATTCGTACCCCCAGTGAATAGAGTATCAAAGCGTTTCATAAAATAAATTACCAGAAAAGCTAAACCTTTTCAAGTATATTTTCCCAGTTTTCCTTGAATAAGGAAAGGCTCTGCTCAGTCTTTAAGGAAAGAATGGCACTTTCCACTGATTACGCTTAAAACAGTCATTTCATTATTGAAATGAAGCTCCAGGGAGCATGACTAACAAGCCATGAAAGTGCTCAGCTGCACCTCCTGCCTGCGAATTCTACCAAGGTGTGATTACTATGTCTCCACCAAGCACTTTTAAGTTAAAACAGACTAGGGGTGGGCTGGGAAGAAAAAGTATGCCATTCACAAATGCTCAACCGTTAAGTGTAACGTTTACGCCCCAAATCACTGCTAATGAAGGAAATAAACAGAAAATAATTATCCCAAGTCGCCCTGAAACATCAGTTTTGTTCCTAATATACCACATTCCAAAGTGTAAGGTGCAAGAGTTCTAATCATTACAGGCTGGGAACTGGGGAAAGCTACTTTAGAACCACAGGGGGCACCAAGCTGCATTATCTCAGAATTCACTGGCATCTCCTATTATACTTTGCCCTACGTTATCCTCAATTTTGCCTTATCGCAAATCTCGTACTTCTCCAAACACACCCTTCCTTAGACAGAATGTCATGTCCACTGATATGTTTCTAGCTCACTTTTTGTTCCATCTCCACTGCTCTACTACACAATTCTCAAATATAGCTTTATTATTATTATTCTTGTTATGAGATACAAAGATTTGTATCAGTATAACCCTGATAATAATATCCACCAGTTAGCTCTTTACATTTCCCTGTTGTGTTTTTATAGCACTTGGTGTTATCTGATTAACTTGTTTGATGGTCTCTGTCTCCTCCAACTGAGTGGGAACTACATCTGTCTTATTCACCACTACACCTCCAGTGCCTATAACCATCAGGTTCATATAAAAATGCGATGATAGAGGCAATCTACAACAAACCTACAGCCTATATTATACTGAATGGCATAAACCTGAAAGCATTTCCACTCAGATCTGGAATGAGACAAGAACGCCATCACTGCTATTCAACGTAGTGCTGGACGTCCAAGCCAATGAAATCAGAAGAGAGAAGGAGATCAAGGCTATTCAAACGGGGACAGAGGAGGTCAAACTCTCACTCTTCACTGATGACATCATCTTATACCTAAAAACTCCATAGACTCAACTACAAAGCTCTTAGAAGTGATCAAGGAATACAGTAGCATCTCAGGATACAAAATCAATATCCACAAATCAGTAGCCTTCATAGATGTCAAAAACAGTCAAGCTGAGAACAAAATCAAAGACACAATGCCTTTTACAGTAACTCCAAAGAAGATGAAATACCTGAGAATATATCTAACAAAGGATATGAAGGATCTCCATAAAGAAAATATGAAATCCTGAGACAATAAACAGCAGAAGATATTAACAAATGGAAGAACATACCATGCTTGTGGGTGGGAGAATCAACATCGGTAAAACGTCCATATCACCCAAACTGATCTACAGATTTAATGCAAACCCTATCAAAATACTGATGTCATACTTTGAAGAACTTGAAAATACAGTACTTTGTTTCATATGGAACCAGAAAAACTCCTGAATAGCCAATACAATTTTAAGAAATAAAAACAAATCTGAAAGCATCACATTACCATACTACAAGTCTATAGTGATCAAAACAGCATGGTACGGGCACAAAAACAGAGATGTAGATATATGGAACAGAACACAGAGTCTAGAGATAAACCCAGCCACCTATTGCCATCTGATCTTTGATAAACCAAATAAAAGCATGCACTGCAGAAAAGAATCCCTATTTAATAAATCGTGCTAGAAGAATGATTCCATGTAGAAGTCTGAAATTGAACTCATACCTCTCATCACTGACAAAAATTGACTCTGGCCAGATAAAAGATTTAAATTTAAGACACAAAGCAATAAAGTTTTGTGTGGAAACCACTTGACAAAACTGGCTTAGGAAAAGATTTTAAGAAGAAGCCTCACTGGCAATTACAGCAACATCAAAAACAAATAAATGGGACACCATCAAGCTAAGACGATTCTGCATAGCTAAGGGTACCACAACTAAAGCAAACAACAGTCTTCAGAATGGGAGAAAATATTTGCATCTTATGAATCTGACAAAGCCTTGATAACTAGAATCTACAGAGAACTCAAATTCATCAACAAGAGCAAACAACCCCATTTATAAGTGGGCAAGAGACTAGAACAGAAACTTCTCTAAAGATGACAGACAATGGCCAAAAAACAAATGACAAAATGCTCATTGTCCCTAATCATCAGAGAAATGCAAACTAAAACAGCTCTGAAATATCACCTAACTCCAGTGAGATTTAAGACACATCACAAAGTCCCAAATCTGCAGATGCTGGCATGTATGTGGAGAGACAGGAACATTTCTACACTGTTGGGTGGGATTACAAACTAATATTCCTCTATGGAAAGAAGTATGGAGAATCCTCAAAGAACTAGAGGTCAATCTTCCATTTGACCTCACAATTCCATTACTAGGTATCTACTCAGAAGAACAAAAATCATTTTACCACAAAGACATTTGCACTGGGATGTTTACTGCAGCTCAATTCACAATTGCAAATACATGGAAACGAACCAAATGCCCATCAACCAAGGGACGGATTAATAAACTGTGTGTATGTATACCGTAAGAGAAGATGGAGATTTCATACCTTTTGTGTTTACATGGATGGAGTTGAGACATATTCTTCTTAGTAAAGTATCTCAAGAATTGACAAAAAGTACCCAGTGTACTCAATACTAACATGAAACCAATATCTAAACAACTACATGCCCACCCAAAGGATAAAACACAAATACAGTCTAACAAGGGGGAGGGGAGAAGGAGGAGAGCGGACAGAGGCAGAGGGAAGGTGACTGACAAGAGGGGGGGGCATTTGGCAGGATTTCACCTAACCAGCACAATGTGAGGGTGTTCAGCACACCGCCTGGGTGAAGGACTCAACTAAACTTGAATTTCAACTCACAAGTGAAAACAATGTAACCTACACATTTGTACCCTCATATTAATTTGAAATAAAAAATTATTAACATAAAAATACAATGATTATTTATTAAATGAACAAATTAATGAACAAATGAGTGCACGCATTTTTGGCTGGAAGCAAGGAAAGGTGGTGGAAGACATCAATACTTAGCTTTGATAGTCCACTGGCCAAACAAAACATGGACACTGTACACTCACTCTCTCAGAGATACACACAGTAACAAAGTTCTTTCTGCCTGTTTGGTTTCTTTTTTCTCTCCAGATTATACAACCTTTGCCCTGGAGCTGGACACTTAAAAGTAATGAGCTGGAGGCTTTAATCGAGAGAAGTAAAGAATACACGCTCTGCATTTAGGGCACCTAACTTCAATCCCACCTCCACAACAGACCAGATCTGTAACCACGGGCAACACACTTAACCTCATTAACAAAGTGAGGGTAATAACAGCAGTTCCAGAAGGACTGAGACAATGTACGTCAAGCCCTGAGCCCAGAGCCTGGCGAAGCCCACAAGCACCTGATGTATCCTTGAGATTACTGTTCCTATTGCCATCACCATGGTCAGTCCCATACTCTGAAGGCAGTAAAGATCTCACTCCAACCTTCCATAACCTCTGTATGATGTGATGTTCAGCCTCTGAGGGGAGTTAACACCAAGCACCTTGGTCCAAGGTCAAAGCATCCTCACCTATGAAGCAGCTTTCTCACTTTTCCACTGGCCTCCGCTCTCTGCCCCTATGCTGATCGCCCCCCAGGTAGCAGAAAATGCAGTCCCATTAACCAGCCACACATGATCACAACCAGGCAGTCCTGGTTATTTACCTAACAATTGTGCACCCTTAATAAATCTAATCATTCTCTACTTGGATTTTAAGGATGTAACTTCCACTTTGATGATGAACCTTAATAATCTGCTACCAAATGTGTTCTCTTACAAACTTACCAGGAAAGATCTGAAAACACCCCAATGATTCAGAAGACCAAATCAATGATTCTGATGCTACAGCAGTTCTACTTATCTGGTATCTTTTTACACCCTGACAATTATCAAATGATTTTAAGGTCTAAGAGAATAATTACTGAAACACCATCACTCTTTCCTGGATTATTTTTCTAGCACCTGTTTCATAGAGTGAGTGAAGAACATGAGTTTTGTGGTCAGAAATCCTAGTTTCTGGCTCTGGCACTCAACCGATGTGTGATCTTAGACAAGTCAATAAAATGCCTTCAGACTCAGTATCATTAGAGATAATAACAGAAACTCATAAAGATTAAAGTAACACATATTCACACAGTGGCTAGCAAATAGAAAATAATCCACAAATGTGTTATTATTAAAAGGAAACCTCTTGCTAACATCCTAAATTATTACCTTTAAGTCCTAAATACTAAACTATATGGACTACAAACGCTCTTTTCTCCCAAGTCCTCCTGGAAGAAACCTATTCTCATACAAATTTTAATTCATAAAGGAGGCTTATGATGCTGTTATAATAATTCTTGTTTCTCCTCCTGACTTCCAACCACATTCTTTCCTTTCAAGGTACTTTCAAAAAGCATTTTATGGTGCTAGGAGAAGTTCATATTTTCTTGCCCCAAACAATACCTCTTTAGAGTCCACCTTCAGAGGAATATCATGAAAGGGGGAAATGTAGTGACCAGCTACATTCTCTGCAAAGGAAAAAAACACAAAACAAAAGCCAATTAAAGCAACAGACATACTGTTAATCACAGCAATAATGTCCTCATCCACTTTTAAATTTATCCATTTCCTCAAAGCTAACATTAACTCCCAATTTAAAGTTTTAGGCAACTTTCAAAACTTGATCTCATCTGAGGGCCAAAGAGAAATGTATACTAACTAAATCAAATTTGGGATGCTGAAATTATTTACCTATTCCTGTAACTTAAAACATCTAACGCAAAAAATGTCTAAAATAAGACTAAACCCCAAAATATGAAAATTCCCACTTTTGATAAAACTAGTCATTTCCCTAGTGTACAAAGGAGGGATGAGAACTCATTAAAAGTTTCCAGGGTCAATGCTGTTGCTATGCTATTATGTTCCACTTAAAATGTATTAGGCTTCTCTGAAGGTGGGTCTAAAGATATGTACTATCTATGCTGACCCTCTGTAAAATGAAAGGGACAATCTGTATAACATACATGAGCCCCAGACAGAGAGGGCGGACTCTGTGGCAATGGAAGCCATTCATAAAGATGGTAGAACCAAAGCTCACATCAGACATAGCCCCCTTCAGAGTCACAGAGTATACGGTGATACATCTAAGGTTACAAGTATATTAGCTGAAGCTTCGGCTAGTTGTGTCTTTACAGTCAAAAGCAAGTTGTTGTTTAAAATATCAATCTTACTGTCACTATTGTTAAACCAAAGTCCCTACCTCTCTCCAATCCATTGAGTTTAACTTATCCATATAAGTTTCCATTGAGAGAAACTCATATTCACCTCTTTAATCTTAATTTTAGGTCTAGTTGTTATCTTCATCTCTTTAAATAACATATTTATGAGTTCTTATTTATTGATTTTAGAAATTATCTGATTCCAGTTCTGAGATAAGACTTTAGTTCATTTGACCCCAACTGATTCCCCTTAAATTCTCACTTGGCTAATTTTAACACTTTACCCCTTAATTCCTTGTTCCACCAAATACATACTATTTCTTAACTCCAATAATCTGCTTTTCACCTCCCCTTCTCGTTTTCCTAATTTTTGCCTTCTGTACTTTTATTTTTAATTTCACGGCTGGGAAAATGTTCTGTAATGATAGTATTTTCTATCCCTTCCCATGAGTATATAGTCAAAATTTTTTCAAGATAAGAAAAACCTTGAGTGATCATTAATATGCATATCCCTGAACCTCCATCCTATATCTAGAGGATTAGGGACCTGGCAAGCCCCCAAGTAATTCTTACACTTAGGCAAGTTTGAGAAGCACTGTCTATGTGTTTATTTTTGGCAAGTAGAATGCTATAAATAAATTTTCTTTCTTGTTCAGCTTCTATTTCTCCTTGTGCTTCTAATTATTTTTCTTGCACGGTCTGTCATAATCATACCCATGTATCATTCAGAGATATCATCAAAACTATGGACTCCTCCCTTTACCCCAAGAGCTCCCTGCGAACCCTCTATCCCCCTGCTGCAACATGGATGGATGCTTTCTGGCCCTCCTGAGAATGCTTCCTTGCTCTGCAGCTTAGCTCTGTTTCCTGGACCCCTGGCATTCATCTTTGTTACTTCTTGTGCAGGAGTATATCCCTAACATGTCTTCTGTAAGAAAGATAACATGTAATGTAAATTTCTCAAGTCATTCAAGGTCTAAAATGTCTTTATTCAGTCCAGACTGATGACTCACCCCAGATTGATGACTAGGTGGGTAGAGAATTCTAGGAACAAAACTATTTTCTCTCAGAATGTTGAAAGCATTTGTCCAGTCTTGGAGCATTCAGGGTTGCTACTAAGTCAGACACCAGTCTGGCAGTCACCACTTTGCAGGTGGCCTGTTATCCCTGCCCACTCCCAGACGTCTAGGCTCCTCTTTATAGCCTCAGTTTTCTTAGACTGCACAATAATGTGAGTCAGCACACTTGGGTCTGTCAATTCTTAGATCTCTACATTTATTGATAATTTCTTCATTTTGTCTGCTCTTTCCTTCTGGAACTCATAGTAGACAAATGCTGAATTTCCTAGACTGAATCCTCATGTCTCATCTTCTCACCTCCTCCTCTTTTTTTATCTCTGACATTTTGTTCTGTTTTCTGGTAGATTTCCTTACCTTATCTTCTAATTCCCTGTATTAATGTTGTAGGGCTGCTGGCCCAAATTACCACAGACTTTGTGGCTTAAAACAATACAAATTCCAACGGCTTGGTCTTATAGGAATTATATTCTAGTGGGAGGACAGAAGTAATGTTATCAGGTGTGATAAACACTATAAAGGAAAAGAAGTCGGGGAAAATAGTGAATAGGAAAGAAGTGATATTTTATACTGACTGGTCAGGGAAGATCTGATGGGTCACAATTCAGCACAGACCTGAATAAAGTGAGATCGCAGATCAAGCAGACATCTAGGGAGGAGCATCGCAAGCACAGAGAGATGCTGAGGAAATACCATACACAGCGTGTGTGAGATACAGCACAGAGGCCAGGATGGCAGGGGCATGGAGATCAGAAAGAGCAGTAGGCAGTGAATCCAGAGACGAAGCTCAGAGTCCAGAGAGGCAGGACTCAGTACAGAATGGAACAAAAGGAATTTTACTCTATTGTCTTTTTTTTTTTTTTTTAAAGACAGTTTCACTCTGTTGCCCAGGCTACAGCGCTGTGGTATCAGCCTAGCTCACAGCAACCTCAAACTCCTAGGTTTAAGCCAATCACCCTCCCTTAGCCTTCCAAGTAAGCTGAGACTACAGGTGCCCACCACTATGCCAGGCTAATTTTTCTATTTTTAGTAGAGATGGGGTCTCACTCGTGCTCAGGCTGGTCTTGAACTCCTGAGCATGAGCGATCCTTCTGTCTTGGCCTCACTGAGCGCTAGGATTACAAGTGTGAGCCACCAGACCTGGCCAATTTTAGTCTAATGTATTAAAGTCATAAGGGGAAAAAAAAATAAACAATACCTACCATGTGTAAGACACTGATAATTTTTACACACATGGTGTCATTTAACTGCCATAGCAATTTTTTAAAATTATTAGTGCTATCGCCATTTTCTAGTTAGAGAAACTGAGCTAAGGGATCTCACCTGACCTAAGAGACATCATCTAATAGTTCAATCAATTAACTCAATAGTGACTCAATCTATAAACTGTTACCATAATACAGTTGTTTTTTTTGAGACAGAGCCTCAAGCTGTCCCTCTGGGTAGAGTGCCGTGGCATCACAGCTCACAGCAACCTCCAACTCCTGGGCTCAAGCGAGTGTCCTGCTTCAGCCTCCCAAGTAGCTGGGACCACAGGCACCCACCACAACACCCGGCTATTTTTTGGTTGCAGCCATCATTGTTGTTTGGCGGGCCTGGGCTGGATTCGAACCTGCCACCTTAGGTGTATGTGGCTGGCGCCTTAGCCACTTGAGCCACAGGCACCGAGCCAATACAGTTGTTTCTGGAAGTTTCAGAAATTGTTTCAGCACTTTGCAATCCGAGTTCCAACAAAGTCTAGTGTCACTAAGGTATTAACAAATGTTCTGAGAAATAAGTCATCTGTGGTTCAAGTTTTGGACAAGTTACTATACACTGGAATTTTTTGGAATTTAATATACACATTATTACCTTATAAGAAGGTGATACAACAGGGAAGTGTTACACTATTATACCATAAAACATCTTGTTTAAGAAAACCAAATAATATCCCATGCTTTTATTCAACTAAGCACATTTTGGAAAATGATCATCTACTTGGATCCCCTCATTCCATGAGTTAATGGAGTGAGGTACAGACAGGTGAATAGACACAAGCCCACACAGCAAGTTACAAACAGAGCTAGGCCTGGCCCCAAGGAGGCCTTATGCTTACCACTAGGAGGCGCTTTTCCTTAATTGTCCCCTAACACTGTAACACTTTCTACACAGCTGACCCAGTTTAAAAAAATATATATATATAAAATAAATATATATTCTAAATAATTTATTTTGATTCTTCTGAATGGCATTAAAGAGAAACCATTTACAAAGTTCAAAAAAAAACTACCTCCCAACATGCTACTATTTCAGACTTGGGATGATACACTTGCAAGTGTGGAAAAAGATTTTACTTTATAATGCTAAAAACATTTTCAGCCAAGAAGTGCTATACTCTTGTTTTTCTTTGAAGTGAGACAAAATTACACTCTACTACTGGCTACACTGAGTTAAAAAACATTCAATTTGTGACCATCTTTATAAAAGCAATTCATTGTTTTTCCCTTACCCCACTCACCTTGGAGTCCTTTCCTTTCACTGTCCCAACCCCTTCCAGCAACAGTTCTGGGCCAACACAGCCATCTGGTGGCTAGTCTGGGAATTGTTTAAGCCACTATACCTCACCATTTGGACCCTCCTGGTAACCACATACCTTTCTTCTAATTCTTTTCCATTTACCTTCGTTAAACCCTTTTCTTCTTTTCTGCCCTGTTTACCCAACAGGGTGTAAAAAACACTTATGTCACTGTAGTTACAGAAAAATCATTAGTGTGAAGCATATTTGCAACTAAAAAACCAAACAAACAATGAGAGGCCATATAGGCTCAGAAATGCCCCCCAATGGAGGCCCTCTCCCAACAGAGACTACTAGAACCTCAGTTATTCATCCAATGCCTTCAAGGAATATCAATACAGAGAAGGACCTTGAGAATTACTTCAAAGTCAACTGATTCATTTTACAGCTGAAGAAAGTGGGCCAGATAATGAAGTAATCACCTGGTCAATCATCTCTCACACAGTTAATAGCAGAACAAAGACTAAAGCCTAGAACTTCCTAGTCCGAAACCAGGGCTTGGTCAACTACACTGTGTGTGCTCCTGGCCCCTTAAGACTGTTTTTCTTCTCAAATAATATTCAAGTAAAGAAGTTTTTTCAGTGTTTTTACACTTTCCTTAGTTAATTATATCAACACTACAACTCTCTTGCGGGCAGGGCCCATAACTAAATCTCCTACGTACCATGTCTAACAGTGTCTACCATGCTTAATAAACATTTATTAACTAATCTGGTTATTATTAATTACTGTACTTTTACCAATCTGAAATACTTTTACCACACTATGCAATGGACACACTTCTTTATCTGCTTAGAAAAACTACCTACCATTTTATACAATTGTTTCTGGGTAAAACTATTCCCTTTGGAACACAATCCATTCAGAAATTTGAGACTTCCTATTAAGGGTGCCTGTTCACCAGATCAGCCTTAAACAAACAAGGGTGGAAGAAAGTATGTAGCATAGAGAAAAAAGGTCTTGAAGACCTCAGGTATTTTAGCAATAAGTACATTGTAATCACAAGACTTTCCCCACAAGCTTTGTTTTCTCCCCAGTAAACTAAACCTCGACCCTAAACTCAGGTAGGATAACTGCAAACGTTTTACGAATTACAGGTAACAATAATGATCACAGGTATTGTTAATAATAGCAATTTTATATTCTAGGCACTGTGACTAATCACTTTACATACACAATGTCATGTAATTCCTGCAGCCCTATTTTACGGATGAGAAAAATCAAGACTCAGCAAGTTAAGAAACTCTCCCGGATTGTAGCTTTCCTAAGATAGCTAACAATTAGTTTCATAATAGTGTTGAGTACATTGGATACTTTTTCTTCCATTCTTGAGACACTTTGCTAAGGAGGACATTTTCCAGCTGCATCCATGTAAACATGAAGGAGGCATACAGAAGTAACACACTATATCCTATGAGAGAATTAATGTACA